TATAGTCATTAGTTTCAGCTGGTGCCCATAGTACCTCGGACCAAAAATTGTCGTCAACTTCAAGCAAATTGTCCAACAGTATTTGATCTCTTGATTCATCAGCAAGAGAACTCGCACTCGTAGCAGTTGTGTTTGAACATGAATCTCCACTAGATAATGTTGACGACGGAGTATTTGGATGTTCTTGAATCTGGGAGTTTGTTTTAGGACTTGATATTTCTTCAGAATTATCCTTAGAATTTTCGGGTTCTGATGAACGTGTTTCAAAATTTTCCTCGGATTTTGACGTTTCCATGGTTTGTTGATCTTTTATATCTTGAGTTTCTTGAGGTTGAGATTTATCATCCACTCTCTTCTTCAAACGAGTATGCCAAATGTTTTTTATTTCATTATCTGTTCGTCCTGGTAACCTTGCTGCAATTCCAGACCACCTGCAAAATAATTGTCCTATTAAAATCAAACAATTTTTATTGTACGCAAAAACTTGTACAGGCAGTCGGTTTATTATTGAATTTAAGACTAACTAAGATGGTTTTAAGATTTTTCTTCCTGTCCTGAACTGAATTATTTTGTATGCTATGCTTAGAGGCGGGCGGACCTAGAGTATTAAGAGTAAATTTAATTAAATTTAAAATACCAAAAATATTAATTTTCAAACTCATATTTTCAAGAAACGCAAAATCTTGAGCTTATTAAGTTAAAATTTTGGATCCACTTCTGACTATGCTTGTTTTTCATTATTAATGTTCTAAAAAAAAAGAAATCAACTCCAATCATTTGTCTAACTTACCACCCTTTGCAAATGACAAATTGAGGGCAAAAAATAAGGGGAAAAAATAAATACGAACCTATTTCCAAGAACTTGATGCAACTTGATAATGGTGTTTTCCTCTTCAGGAGTAAAGTTCCCTCTCTTAATATCAGGTCGCAAATAATTAGTCCATCGGAGACGACAACTTTTTCCGCACCTTAACAAACCTAAAATAAGAACAATGTAATGTTCAAGATTTAAACTTGACTGAGTAACAAAATATTATTACATTATTGTCCTTCGTCAATATTGTTGCCCTTCCTCTTGATTGACAAGACGAAAGGCAATAATGCAGTCAGGACTACGACAAAATACTAAATTGATTTATGTTTTTACCTGCAAGTTTGGGAAGTGCACGCCAATTAGGGTGGCCATGTTTATTAATGTAATTGATGAGTAAGTCATCTTCTTCTTTACTCCATGGACCTCTCTTTAATCCAAGCTTTTCACAGCAAGGAGCTCTGCCCATTTTCTCTCACTGTTCTCTCTCTCTCTCTCTCTCTCTCTATTTTCTGTGTTTTCTCAGTTTGTTTTTTCACTTGGGATTTGAAGTTGATAATAGTGATGATGTAGTACTGGTATTAATACTAGTCTGTGGGAGGACTGTAAAAGGGTTTGTACTGTAGTAATATTCCGTTTCAAAAAACGCATGATTCTTTCGTGCGTTGACGATTGTGACCAGAGATGGATGTATGCTTGGAGGAGAGGGATCATCGACCCGGTTAACTTCACAAAAATTTCAAATACACAAGTGTATATAGGTTAAAAGTAATAATGTATTTTACTTGAATCCCTTAAGATCAATAGTCCTATCAAAGTACTGCTTGAACAGTCAGCTCATATGCCCGCCCCCTACAAAAAATGCTGGATCCGATACTCCAACCTCACTCAAGAAAACACATAGAATGAGAGTAGGGCTCAGTTTGTCTTGATCATGACAAATTAATTAATTACTAAAATATTGTATTCACAGATCTTTATCTTATTTTATGTATGATATATGATATTATTAGTAGGAGAATTATTTCGCTTTACGGACGACAAGTAAATCCGATTTGGACTCAGTTCTGTCTATAATTCGATTTAGCTTGGTCGCCACTCGACTTATGTCATGTCATCATTTGAAGAGTTATATAATTTTGTTAATACAATTTTGGTAAATTTCTTACGTCCTCTATTTATTTGATTGGGTATGGAGTTTAAGAATATATCAATTTTTTTTTTAATTTTGTAGTCTTAAACTAAAAATGTGTACAATATACTAAAATGTCCTTAAATCTTATGGTCTTAAATGTGTCATGTGAAAATTGGAGTTAAAGAGTTAATAATAAATATAAAAAGATGCATTTTTTAAACAGACTAAAAAAATACACAAACAGGAGTGAGTATATATTTTTAATTATAAATTTTTATGACTTACACATTTATTTAGTTTCCAAAAATATAAATTTTACTTGAAAAACTAAAAATGGACGTTTACATAGGCTTATGGACAATATTTGAATTAATATTGAAATATTTCTGTGAAAGTCGAGTATTTGTGAGCAAAAACTATCATTTTACTTGAAACTGTGTCTTCAAATTGGTCAAATACAGCCCTAATTAAAAATTGGTACCATTTTTTATTTAGACACTTCAATTAAACTAAAGTATATATCTATTGAATTCTATGCTAAACTCAACAAAAGTGTGCCAATTAAACACAATAGGCTGACATGGCAAGAATAGTTTTTTTCCATCTCTTGAGCGCATGAGTTGATCCAAAAACACTGCTGTCTTTGTTGTCTCACACGTTGCTGATATTATCTTTCGGGTTTTGTTGTCAGAGATCTATTGTCTCTGAACCGAGGGTCTCCCGGAAATAGTCTCTCTATCCTCTCTGAGGTAGGGTTAAGGTCTGCATACATTCTACCCTCCTCAGACCCCACTGATGAGATTTTACTGGGTTGTTGCTATTTTTTCTTTCTGTTTTTAAAGATCGCTTCTTTTTTTAATGCCACATATTTACAGGTGTTATTTTGTATTGTTATCATCTCACCACCAATATTTCAAAAGATATAAATTGAAATCAGTAGAATACTAAAATGGCAAATGAGCTTAATTTTTTTACGAAATAAAAATGGAAGATAAGTGTAATTATGTGATGAATGAAGGTCAATAAAAGGGAAAGTGAGTGTTCTGTAGTGTGAAATATATTTTAAAAGAAAAAAGGGAGAAAATAAATTAAAGCTCTGGGTTTTGGACGTAGATTTAGAAGAAAAGAAGGAAAAATCTGAAATTGTAGAAGAGAAAGAAGAAAACGAAAAGTCGGAGAGTGAAAGAACAAAGAAGAAGAAGATGGATGGAGGGGAGAGGACCGTGTAATATAATTTTGACTTTTTCTCTGTGTAATATTTGACTTGAAGCTGAAAAATATGTGGAAGTTTTAAATTATATTTGGACATAAGTTTCCTTTGGAAAAAATACCTCCTCTACTCAATAATACTATATTTCCCTTGAAATTCAGTATTTGTAAATTCTTACAATATACTAGTAGTATTTATTACATGCTGGGGTGTGGAAATAATTTGAGTTTCGTACGATGAAATCGTTACTCTTAATTATTACACAGTAAGTGAAAAAACAAGAAGCTGGCTCACCCTGGGGAGAAAAAATATATAGCCGCTCTAAAAAAAAAGCTGGCAAAATGTATAGTTTTGTATATTAATTTATAATATGCACATTTAAGACATAATCAATGTATGGATTACGAGTTCAAATCGTGAAAGCAGTCAATAATATTTGTATTAGAACAGTGGTATATTTTTTATATATTTAGTTAGCGAATATAATTATTTTTAGATTGAATAGGTAACTTGCCCAAAAATGCACCGGACATAAATTATTGATGGGGCGAGTGTGGATGGGGTTATTGGACACGTGATACATACAAGGATTTGCCTGGTTTGTGGTCCACATTTTAATGTGTCCTGCATAGGAAATAATATGAATGCAGAATATTAAACATCAAAAGTTTATCTGAAAAGTCATTTCGCAATGTCTAACGAGTTTAAAGTGAAAAAAGGGGATGTTAAAGTGAAATGTAGCATAAACGGAGTGAGGATTTAGTATTTATATATTCCAAATTTTAGAAGACAACTTCATTATTGATAAAGTATTTATATGTACAAAGTTAATTTTTTAAATACAAATATAAAGTTTGAGCCAAAGCTATTGAATTATGTCGAAAGTAGAACAGTAGCTCCTTTTTCGATAGTTAGAGACGGCATCCCTAATAAGTTGTATGTATGAATTGCATATTATTAATGTATAATGGTAAGTTGTTTTATTTTTCAAGTTATTATATAAAACTTGATATATGTCGTTTTTCACATGCGGGTCTAAATTTTTTAGTAAACCTTTATATTCTTATTGCTGAACTCATTACAATTTTTAAATCATAGGTTTAGATTTCATTAGGTTTGCTCTCCCACACACACGCATTATGTATCAAAAATATTGTGTTCAATTGAGTTATAGCCTGTTTGGCCAAACTTCTCAAGAGGCTAAAAGTGTTTTTTTTTTATTTCCCAAAAGTATTTTTTTTTGGCAAAGCTTATTTGGGGAAAAAAGTGCTTTTGGGAAGAAGCAGAAGCAGTTTCAGAGAAGTAGAAAAAAGTAGTTTCTTTCCAAAAGCAGAAGCAGAAGCAATTTTGGCTTTTCTTCTTATCTAAAATACCCTTAACAAAATATAGTATATACCAAAATAACCCTTAAACCTAATACTTAGGATATTAAGTTATAAATATTTCTTCTTATTTTTAGGAAAATTTTCTAATATATAGTGACTTCAGGGGTGAATGCTTTTATATTTGTTGAAGGGATTTTAATATATTTAACTTATATTAAAAGAATTAAGTACTTTTTAATTTTATTTTCATATTTTATTTAAATAAAATGATTTTTTAATTATTGCATGTAATAACAAAATTTTGAGATTATTTATTTACTTATAATATTAATTATTAAGTAAATCTATTCATGTCCTTATTCGTAATTTGACACTTAAAAGCACTTTCTAAAAAGCTTGGCCAAACACAAATTATTTCTCAAAAGTGCTTTTCAGACTGATTAGCCAAACACAAACTGCTTCTCTCCAAAAGTACTTTTTTTCAAAAGCACTTTTAAAAAAAGCATTTCTCAAAATAAGCCGATTTCTCCAGCTTGGCCAAATAGGCTATTAGTAAACTTGCTACGTTCTTCAGTAGAATTTGTTTACTCAAAAAATGAGTAACAATTAAATTTATAAGCAATTTAAATGGTATACGTGGTTTAATTCAATATGAATAATTAAGAATAACAGGTAAATGAATTAAAGACAAAATAAACTATCAAACCAATCGCAATGTAATGACCAAGCCGGATCTTAGATTAAACAGTGAAACTCGTCCTCGATTGGACTCTCAATTCAAGCTCGATCACGAGTGAAGAAAAGAACAAAGGAGTAATGCCTTGAACAATAATTAGAAGACAAAAGTCAACTTTTATTGCTTTGGATTGCGTGTTACAATGCGTCAGACTAAAGAAAAACTTTTCTTTTATATAATAGAAAAATTTCAGTCCTAGTACAAATCTTAAAAGGGTAAAAATCTTCTTTTTTCGGTAATTGTTGATCTATAATTGATACTGAACGAGATTTGCGCCGTAATATCCGGTTGAGGGCGCATATTACGGCCCCTATCCGTCATGCATAACTGTTCTCCGCGTTTTCCGAGGTCCAGAAGCTATACTTGGTCCAGGGTACGTCGCTTTACCTTATTCGATCTTAGATACATTGTTCATTCTCCCTGGGTCTCGATACGAGGGGTTCCTGGCCTCGCTTAGAATCATGTTGAACCGCGCTTCCCCTTCGTTCTCTCATTGGGGAATCGGGGATAACTTTACCCCTGATTTTATCCGTACACAAAATTATCTGTTATTATAGGTTAATTCAACCTAATATTATCAAATTCTAACTTTAGTCATCATTAGAGTTGCATATAATATTAAATTATGTGTAATTTATGACTCGTACGAAAATCGGGTAGAAGAAATGACAACTATAAGGTAATGGGAAGCCGCGACTAGTTAGGATCAAAATCAATAAATAGTCGGCAGAGCCCACTTCTTTATTTACACCAAAAATCCTCCGTTCGCCACACCCCAAAGTTTCGTTTTTATACTTATGTTATCTCAATCGAGTACCATTATTATTGTTTTCTAGTGTAATAAATTTTACTCCACACAAATGGCAAATATATATTCGTATATAGTACTCTACCAATTGATCTTGCTGTACTTTTTCTGACAAAATGTAGGAGTAAGTATTTCATAAAGTATATTCGTTTGTTCCTTTAGAATTATGAAATTAATCAACTTATATTTTTGCATAATTATTACAAAATATAATGAAATAAGAATTTGAATGTGCGCTCTAAAGAATTCTTAAGTTTGAAAGGTCTTGAATTCTTTTCAAAGACAAATTATTTAGTAATGAAACAGTGCGATACAAATAGAACAGAATATTTACAAAAAAAT